CCCCAAAACCCCAAAACCCCAAAACCCCAAAACCCCAAAACCCCAAAACCCCAAAACCCCGATCCTTTGCAAACTTTTTGAAAATTATTAACTTCGAATTACTGAATCTTTTTCTTTGACAAATCTGATGTATACTTATCTGAGATCCCCAAATTCTTGAGGTCATTAAGCTTCTTCTTCTTGATCATCTCGAGTCTGGCTCTCTCTTCAGCCTGGCTCTGCCTGACCTTCCTGCCTTCTTCGAGATAATCAAGTCTTTCTTGCTTCTTGACCTCTTCATTCTGAGTAATCTGAGATCTCAGCTTGTTGGCATGTTCTCGAAGGATTTTCCTTTTCTCTTCATCGATCATGGCTTCTCTCATTTCCTCTTCCTTCTGTGTCGAGATAATTCTAGAATATTCTGATCTCTCTTGCTTGGCTTGTTCAGCCAGCCTCCTTTCCTTCTCTGTGAACTGAGAGAGCCTGGCTTCCTCGAGCTCTCGCTGGATTTTGAGCTGCTTCTCTTTTTCCTTACGTTCCTTCTCCCTCTCAGCACGTTCTTGTTGTTCAAATGCTCTTTTGGCACGAAGGGCATCGATCTCAGATTGTCGGTCTTGAGCTTTCTCCTGGAGGTCTCTTAATCTTTGGACTTCACGTTCTTTTTCTTCTTGGATTCTTCTCTTTTCAGCCTCTTGTTCCTCTTCTCTAAGAGCTTTGAGTCTGTTGTACTCCACGATTTTAGCTTCAAGCTCTTTCTCCTCCAGCTTCTTCTTCTCTTTAGTAGTGATGGCATCTTGGTTGGCGGCCTCGACCTCATGCATCATCCGTTTAGCAGTCTCACGCTTCTCTTCTAGCTCTCTACGCTCTTCTTCCTTGAGCTGCTCGATCTGGTCAAGGATGAGCTGCTTCTCTTTCTCGCGCATTTCCTGCTCGCGGATACGCTCGAGTTCTCGCTCCTTGATCTGATCAATGATTACAACTGAGCCTTGCTTCAGAGCCTGTTTACGCTTCTGTTCAAGCTCATCTTGGTGCTTGAGGTTCTTGAGACGCTCGATCTCCATCATTAAGTCAAGTCTTCGCTCTTCGTCACGATACTCAGCTTCGAGACGATTCTGTTCCTCAAGTTGTTTATCCCGAATAGTGACACATTTCGAATAAAGGCACATCTGGTTCATGTGCTTTACATCATCCTTCTCCTCATCAAGAGCATTCTGAGCTTTGCTCAAAAGCCCTTGCTTCTTCTGAGTGGCTTCTCGCTGGAAGTCAGTTGGAGGCAGCTTGGCAGCCCTCTCTTGGTCTAACACTTGCATTCTCTTCTTCCTGGCGTTGGCGGCAGCTCTCTGTTGACCCTTTTGCTCATCGAGAACTTTCTTTGTCAATTTAGCCTCTTCATTAGTCACAATTTTAGTTGAGCCACGGATTCTATCAAGCTCTGTCTTGGGAATAATTACAGCATCTGGCTTTAGTCCTTTCTCAGCTTGGCCACGAATCCTTCGAAGTTCGGCAGCAGACACAAAGGCTGCTCCTGCAGGAGCAGCCGTTGTTGCTGGTCTTTGTTTTTGAGACCCAAAGAGAGATTCATCAACGTAGGATTTCTTGCTGCCTCGGCTCCTTAGGGAGGCCCTTGAAGCCTTAGATCTTACAGATCCTGCTACACTTGTTGGCATCTTCAAAATTTAAATAATTATTTATTTCAAAATAAAGAAATATATTTGGGGTTTTGGGGTTTTGGGGTTTTGGGGTTTTGGGG